AGTGTGGTAATTTCGCGATATACATTATATTGATACAGTATTTAATAAATTACACAAATATAATATTCAAAAAAAAATAAAAAAATTTGAGAATTAATACAGTTACGAAAAGCTATTACTCAACGAATATTAAATAACGTAAGACGAAAATTTATATATATATAGATTTGGATATATAGAACATTTTTACTTAATGCGCAGTAAGCAGTTTACTTTAACCAAAGTGATTAAATTATCTTGTGAAGTTAAAAAAAAAGGTTCACGATATTAATAAAGTTACAAAAACACATTAAAACAGGACCTGGAAAACTTCTAATAAGGGTTACCGTCAAACATAGTTCGAGAACTTACAGATTTTTAAAAAATGTTACCAGATAGGCATGATTCGCATTCTTATAACGATGGAAAGGTCATAGTATTTGCGGTTCGTACTAATTCAGGTTACTGCTTTTGGATGGTTCACAAATATAATATGTAAATAGATTACCATATATAGTATGGTTCACAAACATATGATATATATATAGATATATATATAGATGCTTTTTTGATGGGAAGAAATTTTTCAACGAAATTCTTTAAATTTCAAGAATTTTATTAAAATGGAACAAATTATGAACAATCTACATTTAGTTAATTTCACACGTAAAAGTAAAATTTGTTCAATAAATTTTGTTCTTTTTTAAATTTACTTTACCTAGCTGTTATTCAGCTTTTTTTACTTTACAATAGTACCAGTTCACTCGTCTCGTGCTTAAAATACAAATTCTGATACTTGTATCTCTCGTTTTAGATCTTTTACAAATTTTGATAAAATGATAGATAGTAAAACTGTCCGATGTAAATGTGGAGTTGAAGTTCGACTTGACTGTCCTTTTAAAATAACAAATTTTGAAAGACATATTAATAGCCGCAACTGTATTCTTGGTGTTGATAATCAACCTAGTTTATATCTTTTTTTTGATCAAAGCAAGGATACACAAGGAGAGTGCGAAGAGGAGTTTCTTGAGCTTTTACCTTGTACTGGTTTATTTGGTGGTTTGTATACGGAATATGCTACTAATTCTCCAGCCTTTTTTGGTGGGAGGAAAAGACCTGAAGTGATTGGAAAAACAATTTTTCCTGATAAGTTTTCATAAGATACTTCTTTTTCTCGTAAAATACTTAATAAAGATCAAACTCAACAATTCAATACTGCATTACAAACAACAGCTACCTGGAAAATAGATCATTTTAAAAGGATAATACGAAGTGTAAATTGTGCAATTATGATAATAAAATTATCAGGTTTATGTAATGAATGCGATAATTTACAAAATAATAATAAATTAAAAGAGGCATTAAAAATTGTAAGTTAATTAAGCTTAATTCTTTATTGCTTAAAATATTACTAAATTAAAGTTTTTTTTTCGATATAAGAAATGTGCGACACCATCAACCAGTGTTGTCATGAGACATTGATGGGACACTGATGGGACATAGATGGGACAGATAGGACATTTGGGACATAGTGTGGGACAGGTTGGGACATATAGCTGGGACAACAAATCTCTGGGACATCAAAAATGTACATCACTGCCAACAATCGCCTGAGCTACGATTCGTGTCTTTAAATTATTGTCCGGAGTGACGAAAAGAGACAATAAACCTGAATACTGACCAGATTCGAACTGATCAGAAAATTCGGAACACTAATAATTTAATAAACAAACATAAAATTTGTCAACTTTGGCTAGCAAGGTTTTACGGAGGGTAAACTTCACACCATGATAATTTTCTTGAACCCACCGCTAACACAACAAATGCCGAAGTGACGTACTCGCAATGGTTTCGGCTGTCTTATTCATTTAAATTGTGCACATATACAAGAAGTTGTTCACAGCCATCATTAAAAATCTGCTCCATAGTCTTGCCCTTATCGAATTGTCCACCGTTACCACACTTTAATTGACGCACATCACTTTCTGGCATTGATTCGACGTTGTTCGCCCTAGTGATGGTAACGGTCGGTCAACGGTCGGTCAAAATCGGTCAAAATCGGTCAGAATCGGTCGGTCAGAAGCCTTTAACCGACCGATATCGGTCACGGTTATGACCGGTCATGACCGTGACCATTAGCATCCCTAGTTCGTCCTATTTTCCATAACTTCCCAATTTCTATTGTATCATAGGATTCAATAATTTTAATTAAAACATGATGATAAGCATAAAAGAAACTCATGAAAAAATATGAAAACGTACCATTGATTTGTAAATCTAAACCTTTACACTTAAATTCAAAAATAACTCAATTCTATCAGAAGCAGGTCTGGTCTCAGCTATTAGCAGATCAGCATAGCAAACGGAACAGAAGTGTTGTCAAGGATGTTTTCTGACACGTCTGATGGACTGTCAACGTTCATAGTGATGTCTTTTGGAGGTGAAGCGGTTGTTTCAACTTCTTTGTTTTTTTTCCTTTGTCAGCGTTGTTAGTTGAACTTTCCGCAAGTGAGTCAACTTCCATGGTATCGTTGTCCTTTGCAAAATAGCAAGTCTTTATTAATACTCTATCACTAAATATTTATTGGAACTTCCGTATCATTAAGGTAGTTTGGAATCGTTGAGAGTGAGACATGAAACATCACTTTCGTGACCAATTCTCTGTCATCGTAAAGGTTTCCTCTTTATCCGCTAAAAGATTTAAGAACATTTGTTGTTGTTGATAGTCTAATGGTCCTAATTGTTCCAAGTAAGTTGGAACTGCTTCAGCTGAATATCCAGCAATTTCGGCAAGATAAGCGGTAATCCATTCCTTTAATTTTGACTGCAGATATAAACACAATGTGCTGATGTCGTGATGATGGATGAGATTTTCAACAGCGCGTTTAAATTCCTGTGAGTTGGTGTCAATACTGCAAAGATTAATGATACGATTTTCATGACAACAACATTTGGTAAACGGTAAAACTCTGACTTTTTTTGAGAGAGATAGCTGTTTTCTCGATTGATTGGTTCAGATGATGTACCCACTTCTTCTCTCTTGCCACCTCAGCTTGTATTTGTAGACGTGAACCAACTTTATTAATATACTTACTAGCCTTTTGACTACGAGAAACACAGAGCACATCCAATGCTTCAAATTGCGATTTTTTATCGAAAATATCCTAGGAAGTTGACATGTGAATACGTGTTAATTCAAAAATCATTTGGACTCCAAGGAGGCTATCTAAATTCACACAATTCACACACCTCTTTCGTCTTCAGCTGTTCCTCCAGATCAACATTTTTACAAAAACTCGTTGCTTCAGGTGGGTGCTTCTGAACTCAAAAAGAAGCAGCTAGCAAATATATAAAGAAAATTAAGTTATTTTGTACATATTATTTTGAGCTTTCTGGGGGAACGTCACCCCGCAACTGCTGCACCGGGGAACGTCACCCCATACCTCGAGCAGGTCGTTACTACTCAGAGATCGCGAAAATTTTACCCATTTTTTTTTGCGGTTCAAATGGTTCAAATAAAATAGATTGTTAACAAACCTGCTGAGTCAGCAAAGTTGCAATTTCGAGTCGCGTTTTGCTATTATCGTCTTGTAACTCCTGTTCTTCCAACGGGCCCTGAACTAATTTAAGGTGAGGTTTCATTGCTTCGGGTACGATTCGCCAGACCAGTAAGGTACGAATTTTAGAAAATTCGAGTACTCAAAGTATGACCGAATTATCAAATAATTGTAAGTAGGTGGACAAATTAAAAAAAATCTAATTAACGCGGTCTCGATAAGCATGAAGGAATTTATTCTGATTGGATCTTTAGATACAAATTATAATTGGCTAATGATCACATGATTTTAACTCAAAATAAATCATAATTACATAATTATAAACAAATATGGTATAGTATTTTTACATTATATGCCATGACTTTTACATTAAAACTTTATTCAAGATGACCTTTGCAAACTAAAAGTTCTTTGAGATCTTGCATAAAACAATAAATAATAATAGAAGAATGTCTTAGAAAGTTGGGATAGCAAAACGGTCCTTCCTAAATATAAAATTCTTAACTTTCTATCTTGTTAAATATTGGTTTTATATGTTCTATAGTTAAAACCTTCAAACACTGGATCAGACTGGATCAGGGAATGGCAAACGAAAGTAAATGTGCTAGAGAAAGGATATGTCGATACTTAGTAAAAAATTAATATTACCATATAACTGATCATTTTTGATATACGTTGTACTGTAAACTTAATGGTCAAATTGAATTTCGCTCATGCCGTCTCGATATCGCAATGATCACATATATAAATCCTTTTTTTTTTTTTTTTTTGATTTATATATCATATTCTAAAAAATTTATCGCTAAAATAGATGGCTTTTCTCCCGCAGAAGCTATACTTTAAGGAAGGGTACTGATCTGAAAAATTCAACACAATAACTCATAATTATCGTTATCATCCAAATCTGAAAAACCATATAGTAGTATTCTTTCCACTAAAAGAGTAATGAGATTTATACACAGTGCCTTTAGAATCCTGACTCCTAACCCGATTCTAACCCTAATTCAACGCAATAAAAAAATATAACCCAATACTAAACCTAAATCTTGATCCTGATCATGACCTAGACCTAATATAATGCTAAAACTAATTAGTTTAGTATATTTCAATAATTATCGCATTTAAAATGTATTAGTACTGCGCTACGGTCTTTTTTAAAAAATATAGGTCAGGATTTTGAACAGTCGGGAATATGTCCATTCGGGATTAAAGACCATCGGGATTATGGACTATCAGGATTTTTGGGTATGTCTGGAATTTAGAGTCGGGATTCTGGGCTGTCGGGGTTCTGGGTGTCGGGATATTTGTAGGAAATGTACTCATTAAGTTATCACAAATAACGGTTAGAGAATCGGATCCATAATTTCTTTATTTATTTCTGATGCTGGCTTAGCAAAAATCCTAGGAAAAGATTAAAGAATTCTGCAACTGGCTGAGGAACAATTATGGGATATGGGAGGAAATTATAATCTTCGTAAAGTTTCAGACCTCTTACTAAGTGCTTGAATTATCAACGATTTTAACTTTATCGATTCTCCTACTACTACTTCCAAGTGACACGATAAAGATTTGTTAAATCAAAACCAGTTAACTTCAGGTTCAATAAACGCTCAAGAAGAAATTAGAAACCAATGATTTGTGGACAGATTTTATTAAAAATGCTTGTCATGATAAATTTGTTGACACTAAAACTTTAAAGAAGAAATTGTGTGGATAAAATAATGATTTTTTTCATATTCTTTCTTTCCGAAGTGAAAAATTAATATATTTTCCCCCGTTCCCTTGCCTTACGAAAAAAGTATTTCGCAAGCTCATTCTATTTTTGTGTCCCCTTTCCCTCACCCCGTGTATATATATAAACCAGAAGTTTTCTTAGGAAAACAGCTGAATGAGGTTCGGTTATGTTCCTTTTCAGTCGAAGAACTTCGATAAGAAAGAAACTGGTTATCAAAACTCCAGAAGGGATAAACGCAAAGAAGGACAGAACTTGGGAAACAAACTTGCCAAGAAGGATCGTTGAAATTGTGGTTTATAATTTCTAATTTTGTAATTTATTTAATAAAGATTTTTATTTTACTTTTTGCATTAAGTCCCAAGTAAATGAAATAATCATTTTTTGCCTTCTTTTACCTTTGTCTTTTTGTAATTCGTGATTTTTATTACTATTAAATAAGGTCGTGATGCAACCTCTACTCTTTATTAATGAATTTGACGTGCAACCGCAACCGCTTTCTCATAATTCTTTCCTTCAGAGTCGGTGGATTAAAAAGCATCCGATTCCTAGCCAAAATAAAAATCCAATTAGAATTGATGAAATTAAAGAAAGAATTTAAATAGCCAATATGGGGAGTCCGCCTATATTCAACGATCGAAATTTTAAGTATTTTTGGAATTTGATATTGCGAACTTAACATAAAAATGAATATTTTGGTAAAGTAATTCGTGGTTACTCATTTTTGCGATTAATTCAATACAAAGATTTTTAATATTGTAGCCCTATCAACTTCTCTCTCTCTTTTTTTTTTTTTTTTAAAAAAAAAAACTTAGTAGAACGTCAGAAGCTGATTATTTATTCCTATTAATTTAATTATACCAACCCTTAACAAGAGAATCAAATTTGCACGAGAGAATTTTCATTGTAATTTCACGTAATGAATTGTAACATTTAATTAATAAATTTCATTCACCATAAATATATAAGAAAGCAAATGGCTTGATCAATTTATGTTATAAAAAAAGAATTTATAATAATTCTGTAGTCATTGCATATAGAGCAGGTGAATTTACAAATACGTCTTTTTTGATTGTGACACAAACTGGAGATCGTCGTCCCTGCTTCAAAACACGGATCCAATGAATTCTTCACTGGTTAAGCTTCTAGAATACCTTACACCTCCTTCCCATTAATAACTCGAAAATTTGGAAGGTGGTTTCTTACTTCACGATAAAAACACAATATAAACACAAAAATAAAATGGCTAATAAATTACAAACTGCTGAAGATTATGAAAAATCTTTATTTGAATTGGATGCGGAATTGGATAATATACAGAAGTGTGCAGAAGAAATTTTTCACAAAATGTGGGTTGTTTTTAAGTTTTTAACGAATATATATCTTCATTAGGAAACTTTTTTTTAAAAAAAAAAAAAAATTGCATTTTAGAGATAGCTCATTTTCTTATCCATATCCTATTGGTTCTGTCTCGGGTAATATTATTTTTATTTTTATTATATCTTTCTCAATTACAAAATTGTATATTAATTAAAATATTTTTAATCATTCAGCCGAATTAAATGTTCTTCTATCAGCAATTCAACATTTCGAGAAAAAATCTAAAAACTTGGGTATATCAAGTTTAACAACTACTGATATAAAGGTTCCATTTAATGAACCTGGTAGATCAACTGCTGAATTATATCAAGAATCAAAACGTATTACTGATAATGCTAAAGCCGCTTTATCTGGATAACAAGATTCATTTGAAGAAAGTAATAATTATTTGAATGAATGATTTTTTTTTTTTTAAAAAAAAAAAATAAAAATAAAAAAAAGCGAAATTAATGGTTTATTTTTTTTTTTTTTTTTCCTCTATGTTGAACATTAAATTACAACAATAATTATATTATTAATAGTCATTATATAAACTTAAAAGATCAGAGGAATCTTGGAGAAAAGAATTTAATTTTCTGCTACCTTATTATACCAATAGTTTTTGTCTGAATAAAGTAATAGTATACAAAACATATTATATCGTTATTGTATTGATGAAATTTTCTCAAATTATGAAATAAAAGAACACTCGCTAAACAAAGTTCCTCGAGCGACTAATTCTTTATCACCGATTTTGATATGCGCGTCGGCTTCGTTAAACCATTGATAGACAAAAGGTTTCGCGACAAAGGCTTAAAATTTATAAATGTTTTTAGAAAACGGAAAGTAATATGCACTTGATATGTCTCCTATAATTTTCTTACCTTGCACAATTTTTTTCAAAACATAGGGAATCTCGTTCAAAACATCAATTCTATCCATAGGAGTGTCTAGCTTAATCTCTATATAAGCCGAGAAATCTTCACTTTTCTCCAAAGTTTTTCCTTTCCAAGTATATCTGATCTTTGAGGGAACGTGATATCCTGTTTTAGGATCTAAATATGTTTCCAAGAAATTTGTCACGTTGTCATCGGTAACTCCCACCAGCTTGTTATTTACAATCAAACCTCCTTGATTAGATTTTTTACTTCTGTAATGTGGAGTCGTCTCAAACTCGCACAATGATAGTGAAACATCTTTATCATCATTGGATTGGAAATTAACGAAATTCCAACGCGAAGCGATTAAATGTGGGCGCATTCCTTGAACAGCATGCACAAATAATCCAACTCCGGAGATATCGAACGTCTTTCCATCAACCGTTATATTTCCTTTAACAATTCCCTTTGGCCAAAATTTATGTTGAACATACTCTGATTCTTTTTTACCAAAATAAGTCTTGCCGCCATTTTTCTTTTGAAAACCACGATCGACTTGTTCAAATTCAAAATCAATAAACAAATCTTTATCATGTTTTAAAATTACTTTATATTTATTACATTCCGGATTGAGTTTAATTGACATATTTTCGGCTTCGGCTGATAAGCGATCCTTTGAAAGTTTGAAATTGGACATATTGACAGATTTAAAGGTATTTATTCCACCACCATAGAAACGAGTGGTAAATTGGATTGTAGGTTTCCATAAACTATATAATAAGAGAATGTTCATTTTATATAATTCAATTTTTAAATTGCAATTCGTTCGTTCTTTTATGATAATAAGATTTAAATTAAAACTTTTACCCAATATTCGAATGAATCATTTGGACAAAAGCAAAATGTCCCTCGTTGGTAGCCAAATAGAATGTTTGAGTTTCTGTGGAAGAACCTGGAGCCAAAGTCCACTCAAGATCCTTCTTAGTAACTTCCGAAAAGTCATTGTTATTCAAATCACGAAGGTCCGACATTTCAAAGTTTTAAAGCTCAAAATGATTAAAAGATGATTCAATAGTTTGTAATGAGATTTTATATCTTTACGACGGAAATAATTTTTTCCATAATTTGTCTTATTATGGTTACGGTTTACCGAGATAAAAACGTTTATGGTAATGGATGTATGATGAACATGTATGGATGTATGATCACCATATATGTTTTTACTCCGATCGAACATTGTCACTTTATAATTAGGATATTTTCTTGAGAACAAACCAATTTTTTTTTTAGGAAAATGAACTTATAAAACTTCCTTATATAAGGTAATTTAGGGAAAGATGAGTCTTTTTCATACTAATTTTTTTTTAATTGTTCCTATTAGTCCATACGTTAAATGTATGGTGATGATGGAATTTGGCGGCCAAAGACCATCAATGTATGGTCACGATTAATATATTATAGCAAATCATGAATCATAAACCTCCGTTCTAATTTTTGGACTCCGCTCCATTTTTTTTACTTTTCAATCTCCGTTCTAATTTTTTGAACTCTGCTCCATTTTTTTTTTATTTTTCATAAAGTTAGCTTGGCCGAATCGGCCGAAATCAGTGGCCAAATCAGCGTATATTTGACGCTTCCGACGTCCGGATAAAAAAGCAAATTTAATATTATTAATCAGATATTAAATTTTATTATTTCTCAAATTTTAAAGATTATAATATAAAATTATGATTCTAACATTAGTGATTAAAATTAATTGGTCGGCCAAAAAACTTAAAAATAAAATTTGGCCACTTTGGCCATAGCCAAACAGCCCAAACGGCCATCGGCAATTATGCTTGCACGTGACCATACATTGATCGCATACATACATACATACATAGCTCCATAACGTTTCGCAATACCGGGATGACAAATTTTTTCAAGAAATTCTTCCATTTACCACCAACTTTTAATTTCAAAATGACTTCCGCTATAGATTATAGGAATAAAATAATCCTTGCACCTATGGTATGACAGGCGTTAAGACTTGAAAGTTTTGATATTTGGCATCACTGAAAAAAAAAAAATTATTATTTCATTAGGTAAGGGTAGGAACTTTACCTTTGCGCTTACTAGCTTTAGAATTCGGAGCAGGTAAATATCGTTCATAATGATTTGATAAAATTTTTTCACATCATCAAAGTAAATTCTATCCATCTTTATTAGATCTAGTTTATTCACCTGAAATGGTGGATAAGCGTATAATTGCCTCAGAAAGACATTTCGACGGTAAATACAAGAATTTCCAATTAAAAAGAATTCTTTTTTGTTCATTCAGTTTCCTTTTACCAGGGCCAATGCTACATATTTGAACTCACTATTCAGGATAAAACCGCCTAATAGAAGAAACAAGGCTAATCGCATATGTGGACGATAAGAAGACGATAAATTTTCGATCTCATCCTATAGAAAAATCGAAGTTGATCTTTCAAATTGGAACCTCAGATCCCGAATTAGCACTTCAAGCAGCATTAAAAGTGTAAGTCAATTCTTTTTTTTTTTTTTTTTTAAACACATTATCTATTATTTTGCGGTGTTATTTATTTATTTATTTTTTTTTTTTTTAAAAAAAAATTGTTTTTTAAACAAAATATATGTATATATTTAATCCCCTCGTAAAATAGAAAGCAAGATGTGTCAGGTATAGATGTTAATTGTGGATGCCCAAAAAAGTTTTCGATTCAGGGTGGTATGGGAGTCGCTTTATTATCAAATCCTGATAAATTAAAATCTGTAAGTGAAAAATCGATTTGTCACGTAAATACCGGTTTCAAATTCATTAGTTTTTCTTATAGATATTGACCAACTTGGTGCAAAATTCTGGCCTTCCCATAACTTGTAAAATAAGGTATTTTGTATTAAATGTTTATTTATTATTATTTTTTTTTAAAAAAAAAAGTTCTCAGCATTACCTAACAATTTTTGTAATAATTAATAGAATGTTACAAACAAAAGAACAAACTTTAGAACTGTGTAAAATGATAGAATCCACGGGGGTTAAGGCAATAACGATTCATTGCAGGTATTGAGTATTAAAATTAATTTCAAACAATATAAGGTTAATTCTACAATTTATTAAAAATTTCAACTCAATTAAGAACAAAGGATGAACGTCCGAGACAACCAGGACATTGGGACATCTTTAAATATATTGCGGACAATATCACATCTATTCCTATTATTGCCAACGGTGATATATTTCAGCGTTCTGATATTGTCAAGCTTAAAGAAATTTCAAGTGAGTACACGAAAAAAAATTTGGTTGATTTGATGCTTTTATAGTTTTGCTAACAGCCATTCTTATATAGACGTCAGCTCTTTGATGATTGCTCGCGCAGCACAAAGTAATGTATCAATCTTTCGCGAGGAAGGGACGTTGCTATTAAAGGATGTTGTAACAAGATACATTAAAAAGGTTAGCACGATCAGAATTACCTGTAAAGTGACATGTTTGCTCTTATTTACTCTATTTTTTGGTAGGCAATTGATGTTGGAAACAATTGGCCAAATACAAAATACACGCTCGTGCAAATGTACGCCGAGTGTGCAAAAGAACCCGAATACAAATATTTAACTCAATCAAAATCATATGAAGATGTTTGCAAAATTTATGGTCTGGAATCCTATCTTCAAAACGCTAATGCAACAAACGGATCTTTTATAAACGGTAATGGCGTGGGTCATATCATTTTAAGATAACAGGAGACTATCCTTTAAAAGTAAAAATAATTAATTAATTTATATACTAGCTCTTTTTGGACAACCTAAAATTAAGTGCAAAAAACTCAAAAGAAACCAAGATGAAATCGATTTTGATTCAAGTGATAAGAAGAAAAGAAAGGTTGAAATATAATTATTTATAATTTTAAATTTTATAAAAATGTACAATATCACGTGATAAATGATGACATTTGACTAAAATTACTATTCCGATTATGCAAGTTATATATGTCAAATTAATAAAAATTTAAAATGGGGGTTTTTTTTTCAGCATCTATTAATAAAGTCTTTACCTAAAAAGAAGAATTGTTACAATAAATAATATAATAATATTCCTCGTCTATGTTCAATAAATAAATAAATAATAATAGTAATAATAATAATATTATTAAATTTCGGCACGACCAATCGTATGAACACGGAATCCAATATTTCGCAATTTTTCAGCGTCAAGAATAAGACGCCCGTCAAAGATAAATGCTGGTTTATGCATTTTTTCGTAAATTTTTGTATAATCTAATTCCTGATAATATCATAAATAAATAAATAAATTAATAAATTATTTATTAAATGATGACAAATCTTTCCATTATGATACTAACCTTGAATTCATCCCATTCGGTGGTAATTACTATTGCATCTGCGTCTTCAGACGCTTCATAAGCAGATTTAGCGATTGTGACCCGTTTTTTTCACTACAAAAAAGAAAAGAAAAATATATAAGATGATCGATCATTAGACAATTTTTTCAAGCATATAAGATGATGCATCATCTACCACACTTACAAATTTCATGGTCATCTACACCGGGTGCACTTAAATCAAAGAAGATTTGCTCAGTGGAAACTTTTGGATCGTAAATACGAACTTTAGCATTTTCCTGAATAAAATCTTTGCATAAGGTTATGGCAGCAGATTCACGAGTATCGCCGGTATCTTTCTTAAAGGCAAATCCAAGTACAGCGATTTTCTTATTGGTAATAGTGTTAAAGAGTGTTTTGATAATATGAGAAACGAAACGTTTCTTTTGATAATCATTTAAATCAACAACTTGTTTCCAATATGCTGCCACTTCAGGTAAATTAAGTTGCTCTGATAAATAGACCAAATTCAAAATATCTTTTTGAAAGCAACTGCCACCGAACCCAACCGAAGCCTTCAAAAATTTTGGTCCAATACGTGTATCCCTTCCGCACGCATAGGCCACTTCATCGATATCAGCGCCTGTTGCTTCACAAATTGCTGACAAGGCATTGATCGATGAGATACGTTGAGCTAATAATGCATTGGCCGCCTTAAACAATTTGTTAAAGATTAATTTTTTTTTTTTTAAAAAAATAAAAATAAAAATAAAATAAAAAAAAAAAAGAAAATAATTACCAATTTTGAAAGTTCGGATGACCATAAGTTTGTGGTAATAATACGATCTGTAGGAACCCAATGAGCGTAAACTTCAACTAAAGCTTGCTGGGCTCTTATACCTTCTGGAGTTTGTAAACCACCGATCAATACTCGATCGGGGCTCAATAAATCAGTAATAGCGGTTCCTTCGGCAAGAAATTCGGGATTTGATAAAATATCAAACCGAATATTTTCATTGCTATTTGCTTCCAAGATTGTACGCATACTTTCCGCGGTACGGCAAGGTACAGTGGATTTTTCAACAACGATCTTTGAACTTTTCGCGACATTGGCAATCTGTCGGGTAGCAGACTCAACATAACTTCAAATCGAGAAAACATTTACTAACTCGTTCCAGCATTTCAAATTTCCGATGATTTACAAATATAAATAAATAATACTTACGCCAAGTCAGCGGCAAAACCAGCGCCTAGACCGGATTTCTTTGTTGGCGTATTCACTGACACAAAAATTAAGTCTGCCTCTATGACAGCTTGTTCAACTTGGGTAGTGAAGAACAAATTTTTTCCACGACGTTCAAAGACGATTTTATCAAGTCCTGGTTCGTAGATGGGGAGGTGGTCAGAATTCCAGGCGGCGATACGAGCTTCATTTAAATCAACGATGGTGACGTCTATATCATGACATTTATACGCTATCACGGCACAAGTTGGTCCACCTGAATTGAAAAAGTGAAAGTTAGATTATGGACCCAATGTAGTAGATCCGATTCGTAAAGTCGAGTTTATCGTGAGATATTTACCAACATAACCGGCTCCAAGGCAGCAGATTTTCTTTACTTGAGTGGTCATGACTTGTTTTTGTTTTGTTTTTGTTTTTGTTATAAATATTTTGTGTGGTTGTTTTTTTTTTTTTTTTTTTTTTCCTCACTCACACTCTTGATATTATCGGAAAAAATCAAACGTTATTTTGAAAAGAAAGAATTATAAAAGAAAATGAAATTCGGTTTTTATTTATATATGGGTCCGATGAAAACATGAAAAAAAATTTTTGATGCCTTTGACGAATCGATTTTATTGCGAGATTTTTTAATCTTCTATTTGCATTTGCATCTTTTGTTTATGATAATACAATTTAAACCATCCAATCAAATACAAGAAAATTGATTCGTACGACCTCAAATATTTATGGCATTTAGAAACAGTTCGGAATTTTACTTCTTTTTTTGAATGATTTCTTTGACAAGTAATAAGTTTTATGCAATTTGTTGCATTTAGTGTATCCACGAGTCTAGTGTGAAATGAAATTTAATATAGCTTCTACAGAGTTTTGCATTTATATTATTCAACCACAATGATTTTTCATTAAAAGATTTGACCGCAGTCCTATTAACTTTATCAGATATTAATAATAAAATGAAGGCTGTCAAATCTTTCGGTAAAGATCGATATTCACGCATTCCAGATTTTTTTTTGTAGTTTTTTTTTTTTTTTTTGCTGATTACAATTCATGCTGTGTCAAAAGAATGAACGATTTTCACACCAAAAAAAAAAAAAAGACCTTAATTATATTAAGTATGGGCCACATGAAAATTTTCACAAAAAAAAAAAATTTTATTAATTGTTACTTAAAGGGAAATTTTATTCCTAGGTTTTCCTCAATAACCTTTTGATGATTTAAAAAATAAGTAAATAAAAAAACAAAAAAAAAACAAAAAAACAAACATTTGACACGCAGTAACACCTTTGAACTCTCTTTTTTTTTTAAAAAAAAAAAAAAAAAATCCTGAATCCATGAACTAACTGATCAGACGATCTGTCGATCCCGATCACCATAAAGCTAATGATGATAAAGATCCCACAACCGAATGATTTTGTTACACGTAATACAAACATCCTAAAATGTGAGGTTTTATGGTCATGGATTCATCTTTTTTAAATCTCCTTTATCTTTTTTAGGAAAAGTCGTTTTTTAGTTTAATGGTGATTCATTGGTTCATACAACGAGAATTTTTGGATATTTCCTTCCATAAACGGGACAATAAATATTTGTCAATTGAAATTTTAGGGAATACTCTTAAAGAAAAAAAAAAAAAAAAATGACGATTTATTGTAAATGGATTCACCCAAAAAATATACTCCCATTTATCCAAAAATCCGCTTTTTCAAGCCTTTTTGAAATTTTTTTATGTATGAATTTCAAATTTAAAGGTGGGTTACGATTTCTGGTAAGAGGATTTCCTATATTTTTCGATTGGCGCGGACCATTAAAGAAAAAAACGGAAAGCCACATGGAAATTGAACAAATCAACTTTTAGAGCTCGGCGTGGGGTTCGGGAAATAATTTATGGAAAAGGAAAATTATAGTCGAATAGATTTATTTTGATAAATAATGGTAAAAAAAGCTGAGTTCAACTTTAGCGGGTATCCCGAGAAATCAGTTCACTTCACATGATTTTTTCAATATGGTAAAATAATTTTTAAAGTTTACGTTCTAAAATGCATTCTGAGAATAGTTCAAAAGCTAAGCAGGAATCATTTTGATTGCGACACCTGATTATGTGAAAAGAGAAAGATTTCTTTCACACGCCGGAGCTGGTTACAATTGTCATACAACAACTAAGGATCAAAAAAAAATTATAGAAAACACAACCCTCTCTACAAAAAGGCTCAATAGAATCAAAAAAGGATTAGCCCGTTTCTCCGATGATATCATGTTCGACGATATTCAGGGTCTAATTGGGGATAAAAAAATTTTCAGAGAAGATCATTGAGGAAATGGCTTAGAATCAAAAAGGGCTTTCCACCCCCAAAAAGGCTCCCATCAACTTAAGGTCACCCTACAAATAACTTTTTCCGCTATAAAAAAAAATGATCTGGGGCTTTTTTTTTAGCTGATGCAGTTTTATTTTGAAGATTAATCATCTTAAAAATAGTGGCTCTGAATTACAGCTGATTTTTTTTTTAAAAAAAATGCCCCGGGATGCAACATTCCTAAACTTTATTACTGATTATGCGAGTACAATAGATTGTGGTATTACTAATAAGTGTTGTGCAAATCTTTTTTTTTTTTTTATAAAGCTTCTGACAGATTTATGTAAGTTATAATTCAACAAGGAATCGAACAGGAAAAAAAAACTTTCCTTTTAACACATGTCGATTCGTTTTTTTTTTTGCTCTCTCTTCATTTCCAAATTAGGTTGTAAAATAGGTTGAATTGTTTACCGCAGCAAGCAATAAACTGTTGATCCTTCAGACGAAAAGAAATATTAAAGACTAAATTGACTAAATTGTTTTTGTGGTCACAAGTGATTTTCAAACCATTCCCTCGTTCAAATGTATTTAAGATTTAAAATCCATTTTAAAAAAAGAAATTGAATTCGCCACACTTAAAAAAAATTGAGGCGCTGTTATTTTTTTTTTAGTTCTTTCATTTCTTTCATACACTTTCAACATTTATATGTTGTTTACTATCTAAAAATAATTGATCATTTATTATTTCCTCCTTTTTTTTTTTTGTGAAAGAAAAAAATTGCGATTAAAAATATATGATCCCCCCAAAAAATTAGTTTTGTTTCCCGTCCCTTCCGAATCCAGTGTGACAACATAAAAAAAAATTTTTTTTTTGTTTGTAGATTTGCTAGTTGTGAAACGATTATAAAAAAGATTTAAAAAATTATGTTGTACTTTTTAAAAAATAATCATCCAAGAATAATCATCAACTGAATGATAAAAAAGATTTACATTACCTTGCTTTGCCTATTGGCTGAGACTTTTTTTCCTTAGTTCTTGAAAGCCCAGCAAACAAACATTAAATAAACAGTCCATCTGCAAATTTTTCTTGCTTTTCTACCGGCTGCGAATTTTTTTGAAAAAAAAAAAACACTCCTTCGTGTTTTTTCTTTTGTTCTTCATTTTTTTTTTACGTCCTCCCGCACCGTCCACCTTTTTCTCTCTATTGTGCGAGGTTTTTGTAACATATAATCACTTGTTCTCTCTGAAACAAAACCGTAAAAAAAAACCTTTTTTGTAACGTTTTTATATTTACGACGACTTACGACGTAAAAAAAAAAAAAAATTATTTTAACGCTGCGGCCTCTAAGGAAACGATAAAAAAAAAAAAAAAAAATTTAAAAAAAAAAACCTCAAAAAAAAAAACCCCAAAAAAAAAATCCAAGAAAAGATTTATTATATTTTGATAAATTCTTCTTTTATTTTTACGAATTTTTTTACGATTTTTTTCACCTCAATTTTTTTATGAAACCAAACCAATCTTTCTTTTAAAGAGAGAAATCAAAAAAAGTGTGTACTCACGATATTATTATACGTATACGAAAAAAAACACATATATAATTTTTTATCCTTAAAAAAAATACTTTAACGAACAAAAAAAAATATGCCATACGCTCCAGATAATAGGTAATAAGATAAAAAAAAATTTTTTATTCGTTTGTTCCTTTTGGACCCTTCGAATGCTAACCTTCACTCGTAATATTTGCCAGTAACCTTATGCTTCCCGTAGCATCACACGTGCACCAAAGCTATGGAGGATTTCAACATTTTGGACCGGCAGGGGGATATCCGCCTCATGCGTAAGTGTGAATTCTAATTTTTTAAGAAAAGTGACCACATCATTATTACTTTTTCTCCTCCTCCCTAGCATATACACAAAAAAAAAAATTGATGTACAAGAATTATTCCTTATATTATTTCTCTGGTGCATATCTAGAATCAGATATCAACCAGAAGTATTTTCTCCGACGACATTGTTAGTACTTTTATACTTTACCAAAAAAAAAAAAAATTATACATAAATGTGTGTGCATTGCCTTTTTTGATTAACAAATTTTTTTCTTAAATAATAAATCAATCGATCGAATATATATACATATATAAAATAAAAAAAAAAACCCCCCAACCATTCGTTAATCAATTCAGTACACCACCACATCCGCCAACCTATAAATCAGAACTTCATGATAACCACGCAAATCCTCCCCTCATGAATCATGGTGGTCTAATGCCCTCAACGACTCTTCCTTCCGTAAGTACCGTGCCTGTATCCTCACAACCGGCGCTTTCTCCGATCTCATCACTTAATGGAGGAAATACCGGCAATGAGTATCATATGTCTCATCATATTCATCAACATCAAGCCAATTCTGCTACAAATGCCACAACCTATCACCATTCTCCTCCTCTCGAACACGCTCAACAATTAAATCAGGAAGTTTCCAATTACAGCAACACCGTTTCTCCTGTGAGCATGCCCTCTCCTCCCTCCAGCATTCCCCCTTCTCAATCTAATTTACGATTTGAGATCATCCTTGAGGCTCCAACTGCTGCTGCTCAACGTACTGATGAGACCCCAATGACCTACCTCAATAAAGGTCAATATTATGGTTTTTGCATTCAGGATCAAGATAAATTTGATGGGGAATTCATAACAACGATTAAATTAATGTTTCATGATGATACTCATCGTAAATTGGCCTCAACTTATTGGAGTTTTTGGTTAACACAACAGACCTCTCCAAAGAATGCGAGGGCTATTGATATTGGTGTGTTTTAATTTTTAGCATCTATTCTATACTTAAAATCTTTATTATCGTGTTGATTTACTTATTGGTTCTCCCTACATTTCTCATTCCCTCAACCCTTCCCACTTTTTATTTTATAAATTTTAAACAAGATAAAGCTGCCTCAACAGGACTTAGTAATGTAGAAACAAAGACCTTTGATCGTATACAATTTCGTTGGCATGGCAAGAAAGGAGCAAAGCTTTTTATACGATTTAGTTGCCTTTCTACTGATTTTTCACGGATAAAGGGAGTGAAAGGAATTCCTTTAAGAATTCAAGTGGAAACCAAGAGTGATAATGGTACCACTTGTTCAATCTTGGAGAAATCGTTTGCCAAGATTAAATTATTTAGAGATAAAGGCGCTGAACGTAAAAATAAGGATGATCAGAAACATCTCGAAAAGATGTGTGAAAAGATGAGAGGCAAAACACAGGAGACGACGCCTATGATCATGATGTATGCGCCCCCACATTCCGTGACATTATTTAATGAGATGGCGGGTACCAATGATGTATCCGATGATGATGATGTGTTGAACCTTTCTGAATCGTTAAACAACCTTGAAGATGTTGAAGGAGGTGATCTTATACCTCTTCCCTTGGGTAAACGTAGAAGGTTTTCGATGGGACCTGATTTCTTGGAACCATTGGATTGTGACCCAACATACATTCCACATTTAAGAAAACGACGAGCAGGTAAATAACTGTAACCTTTTTTTAGATAAATGTATGAAATTATTAACAAAGAGAAATATATATATATATATTCATATATTTTTTTTTTATCTGTTTTACCTAGTGCTATGCATCTATGTTAAGCTACCGGGCGAATCTGCTTATCGTGCCGTTTACTTGAACCACCTCACTGTTCAAGACCTTACGTCAAAATTATCTGATAAACTCTCTGAGAAAATTGATCTTCAAGGTCAGCAGATTTCAGGTGTTTTTAGGTCAACTAAACGAAACCTTACTGTACGTATTGATGATGACACGATTCATCAACTTGAAGATGAAACGGATATGGAAGTTGATGTACAACTTAATCAAGATGGAACTTTTCAATTAACGTTGAAGTATTAATATATTAAGGATAAAAAAAAATATATGTATATATATTACATATCAGTTCTCGTTCGATTTCGTCGATGCATGGTTTCTATTGATTCTCATGATGGCTTTGGAATGCAAAAAAAAAAAAAAAAAATTCATGCTTATTATTATCCCTTATATTTATTATATATATCAAAAGGGAAAATTGAGGAAAAAATAAAATATTTATTTTTCTTTTTTTCCTCTCCTGTACAAAATACTTTTTTTTTCACAATTGTTTTATATATTTTCATTTTTTTCTTTTTTCTTTTTTTCATTTGCATTTTGCATCTTACTTTTTTTTTCCGCTTTTTTCATTAGCTTTTTTTTAACACCCCCTTTTCTCTTTTCACCTTTGTAACATTTTCCTCCTTTTTTCTTTTTTTTTTTTTTTTCTCTTGGGTTGGGTATATCTATCTATAGGACAGTACGTGATCTTCTGTATATTGGATATTTCGGAACAATTGAAGTTCGATGGCTTAAGCTTTTTAAATAACAAAAATATTTTCTTTTTTTTTTATTGGAATTTCAAAAAGGGTATTTTTTATTGAATGTTTACTTCAAAGTATAATAACTATCATGAAGTATTGTGTATATGTTCAAAAAAAAAAAATTTAATAAATAATTTTTTATATCTTAAAGATCACGCGCAAAACTTTTTTTCATTGAACCTTGCTAAAAATAATTGAAAATTATTGAAATGTAAATTTTTTGCAAGTGATTTTTCAATCAACATCACATAACGCGAAGTGTGATGGTTTAAACAACATCACGTCTTATGGTTTAGGTTGCACAAACCTAAAATTCACGTCAATCATGTGAAAGATTGGAATCAATTTTTTAGATCTATATCAAAAAAAAAAAAATAAACGAAAAAAACAAAAAAAATGATTTCTGCATTACACTGGGTACGTAAAGGTGTAGCGGCGGAAGTACCCGACAAGTATGAACTCGACGATAAGGAATATGATAGAATAAATCAACTAGCAGCATTGCAATTAGAAGCAGCAAAGGAGGACCTTGAAAAGTATTTACTTTTACTTATTATCTTTTTGTTTTTATTGAGAATTGATAGATAATTAATTAAAGCGATTATCACAGAAGTCAAGATATAAAAAAGATTGATAGTAACCTTGACTCCGAATTAGCTGAATATAATTTAGACAATTATGATGATGATGAGGACGATGAGGGTCAACGTAAGTTTTCATTTATAAATAATTGAAAATTTCCTTCCCACTTTAAATATATTATATATTTGTATATAAATATTAGCGGTATCAATATTCGGGAATATGAAAGGATTGGCCTATTACGCGTCGAATGAAGAGGATCCATACATCACTCTCAATGATGAGGTATTTGATAAATTACCCCTATGCTTTCGTTTGGATTTCCCGAGAATCATCGATTAATATAATATGCGTTTTATGTAAGGATGACGAAAGCGAAGATTTACGAATTCTCCCGACCGATAATATTTTGATAGCTGCCAAAACTGAAGATGATGTCTCACAATTGGAATTTTATATTTATGAAGAAGCTGATGATAATCTCTACATACATCATGACATGATGTTACCATCCTTTCCGCTATGTTTGGAGTGGTTAGATTTTAGGTTAGGTAGAAAATCTGGAACAGAGGGTAGTGGGAATTATATTGCCGTGGGAACATTTGATCCAGAAATTGAGATTTGGGATCTTGATACGCTCGACTCAATGTATCCCGATGCAATATTGGGTAATCGAGAAGGAATAAAGAAGAAAAAAAAGTCAAAAGTAATAAACTTCTCTTCGCGAAAATTTGATTTTGGTAAAAAAAAAAAATATTGTTATTAAATAAACGGGTCTCTCGGCTTTTAGGTACCTAACGCTGAATTCCATACAGATTCCGTCATGTCTTTATCATGGAATCGTCACCACAGGTAATTAAAATTATTGGTATTTCGGATCATACGGTTATCGCTAAATATCTTTGTTTCCTTCTCTCGTAGGAATCTATTAGCGAGTTCATCTGCCGACACCACCGTGAAGTTATGGGACCTTCAATCTTTAAAATGCGCGCACTCTTTTACTCATCACAAGGATAAGGTAAAATATATATATACATATATTTATTTATTTTATCTATGATTGACCGACATTCATTTAATTGATATTAGGTTCAACAAGTTGAGTGGCATCCAATAGAGTCGACGATTTTACTTACAGCTTCTTTTGATAAGAGCGTTGCCGCATTCGATAGTCGCGCTCCCACGAGTGTTACATTTTGGAATCTCGGTAATGCAGATCCAGAGTGCATTCGATGGGATCCATTTTCACCACAATACTTTTATGTTAGCACAGAAGCTGGTTTGGTTTTATATTTTGATGTGAGAAATCCTGGTCATGTCGCGCCAGTTTATACTTTACACGCACATGATTCGGCCGTTTCATCCTTTGATGTAAGTCCTTCTATTCAAGGATGTATAGTTACAGGATCAACGGATAAGTTAGTTAAGGTTTGGGACGTTAAAGACATGAAACCGAATATGGTTACGAGTCGGGATTTAGGAGTGGTAATTACGCGTCTCTTTCGGTCTTCTTTTTCTTATTTATTTTTTTTTTTTAAAAAAAAAAATTTCTATTAATTGATAATTTTTTTTTTTCCTTCTCTCTCCTGTTAAAAGGGTAAAGTTTTCGCCACACAATTTTGTCCCGATTCACCCTTTCAAATTGCTGTGGCTGGTTCTGAAGGAAAAGTGTTTATTTGGGATTTGTCAAGCAATGTTGGGATACGTAATTCATTTAAAGGAAGGAATAACGTTCCATTTTTAAGCGAGTCGACCTCAATAGAGGTGAGTATCATTTACCCATATACCGCGTTTAAAACATTAAAAATTTGTTAAAAATATCATCTTTTTTTTTTTTTATAAAAAAAACCATAGAAACCTCCCATCACATTAGCAAATGATAGCGAACATGAGGACGATGACAATGTAGATGATGATGATATGGAAGACCTCGAAGACGATAGTGGGGATGACGTATGAATCACAACCATGATACAATATCATGTGACTTTACGGATAAAAAAAACCCACATTGTTTGCATGCATGCATTCATGAATATGTACAGTCGATCATTTTATTTGGCATTCAAAGGTATAATAATTGGTATTAATTTGTAATAATAATCGTATTGATATTATCATACAAAAAGTAGTTATTTTTATTAAATGAGTTTGATAAATTTACATCCTTTCCCCAATGTATATAATATATATATATATAATGATTTGTTATTATAAAGATATGAACTCGTAAAATATATAGAGAAAAAATTATGAGGAGATTTAATAATTTATTTATTTAAATCATATAAAAAAAAGAATTGATAAAGGAGAGTAAGTTTGTTCAAAGAAATAAAGCAAAAGAAAAAAAAAAAAAATGTAACTATTTACATTTAACCTTGAAGGTTATTCTAGCCATCATGAATTTTTTTTTTCCCAATTATAAAGCTCCTTTCAACAAAAAGATATCACAAAATCTCGTTAAACGGGTGACAAGAAATCAAAAACGTTTAGAGAAGTGATATTCAACAGAAGACGTAAATAAAATAAAAACCCTAATATAAAGTATTGAATTGTAAAGAAAAAAAAAAATCCCAACACCGATAAAAAATAAAAATGAAAAAAAGTAGTCATTTTCATTTAACATTATAAATTCGTCTTATTTCATTGATTTTCTTTTTCACCCATAGAAAGAATAAATAAATAAATATCATTTCTCTCAATGTTTTTTTTTTTTTTCATGAAGAATGAAATGAAACGATTTTTTTTTTAGATATTCCCAAACATGACCACAGTCAAATATTCTGCGAGTTGCAATTTTGAAGGAGGTTTGAATTTATTCATGATATATTGTTGTAAGGAGAAGAAACTAAGCTGGTCCTGAATAAGGCTGGTCCACCTAAGATATACAGGCTCAGGTGATAATGATGCAAAAAGTTCACTGCTGCTACTACTTCTAACATCGTTATTATTAGTATTTCCACCCAGGCTGCTGCTATTATGCTTGCTATTATTTGTACTACTGTTCCTACTAGAACTTGAGGTTGTAAATGAAGATAAGGCCGCAATCTCTGCTTTCAATCTTTTAGTATAAGTTTCAAAAGCTATGGCTTCAAATTCTTGATCAGCATAAACCGTTGTAACCATCATTGAATCGATTCCAAGATCATTTTGTCCACGGTAAAATTGTACCCAACCCAAATCCTCTAAATAACATTCAATTGAATCTGCAACTATATTGATCAATAAAATTAAAATGAAGAATTTTTTTATTTGTCTCTTTAAAATTTGCTAACAAAGAAAATGTACAAACCCTTTTGAAGAGCTTCCCAGTCGTGCGTGTAATAATAGTTTACAGCTAACATATTATGTAAAAATAGGCTGAATCTTTCTACTATATGCAATACCGTAGCTTGTCTTCTTAAGGCTCTTTTTGGACCGGGTAGTTCATTGGCAAGCCCTGGTGGTTCCTTAGGAGCGTTCTCGGTGATCCAGAGTTTGGCCTTCTCGGTCTCTAAAGGGAAATGCCATTCATTTGCTTTTCTTAGGCGGTCCTCAGGTGGAATATCATGAGTATATTTCTTGAACCATAATTTAGCGTTTACAGTATGTGGCCCTGCTAAGGCACGAAATAATTGATTGGTAGAAGATAAAGAACGAAGATCTTTAGCATCATCAATACAAAAGATTATAAGGAAAAGGATTTCAGTCGGAAGAGAAGTTAACTGCACTGGTATACGGGGTGCCATTTTAGTGGGTTAGTTTATTTATTTGATAGTTTGCTCACTGAAGGCTACCGTCAGGCAATTATTTGGAAAAGAAAAACAAGTTTTCTGTTTTTTAAAAGGTTTTATCACAATTTTAGATTTTAAAGTAGGTGTTGATATTTAAAGTTTGACTGTCCCACGGAAAAGAGAGTAGTGAGTAGGAAGTGCGCGTAAATGCGACTATGAATGAAGGAATTGTAAAAAAAAAAACGGGTGTAATAAACTAAAGATGATTGATAAACCTATATATAACGATATACTTTATATAGGGTACACGTTTTGTTTGGTCACGTGATTAAAAGCTGGCCAAATATAAATCTTATTTTAATTATATTAGTATATTATTCTTATGTTTTCCTTCTTAGTAATTGAGTCGATGCTGATTGGCGTAAAGCAAATACTGGTCCCATCAAAACTTACAAATAACATATCCTTTTCCGTCTTGAATTATTGATCAAAAACTTTTCCTAATATTTCTCAACTAGGAGTTTCCACCTCACATACCATAAACATCGGAAACCTCATTGCCAATTTAGTTTCTTTAATATGTTCGTAACTAAATGGTTCTTGGTTTCAACTATTACCATTACTCGATAAAAATTACTCGTATTTTGACACGTGATTGTACTAAAAATCAAACTACATATTATAGTCTTGAATTTTGATTGGCATATATATATATTTATTCGCTTCGAAATTTGCGACTTTCGCAATGTCGATCTACAACTAATAACCTATATATATATTTAGGGTATCCGGACGTTTCGCCGAATCCGTTTCGCCGAAACCCACTTTGCCGAAGCTAATTCACCGAAAGGACTCTTCGCCGAACGAACACTTCGCCGAATGGACTTTTCACCGAAAGACGTTTTCGTCGAAATACCATTTCGCCGAAAGGACACTTCGCCGAAATGCCGTTTTGCCGAATGACGTTTTGCCGAATCCTTTTTGCCGAACGGACACATCGCCGAATCCGTTTCACCGAAAGGACATTTCGCCGAAAATGACTACTGCATAACATTTATTAACTAATCATTTTTAGGTTCCACATTATAAAGTAAGTTTTTTCTTAATAATTTCGTTGGAAATAATAAAAAAAGTTCAGTAAATCTGGCAAATTGCTAACAAACAACAGCGAATTATTTACGTTTTCGGCGAAATCATATAGGCCGATTTGGCTCACTTCGGTAATGTCACCTGCAAGGAATGATCGACCGTCGATCATTACTAGTTTTACTACATAT